AGCCAATGCCGATCAAGTAGGGGGAGATAAGCAGGGAGACTAGCAGGGAGACACGGTAGCAGCGGTAAAGCCAACGCCGCTCAAGCAGGGGGAGACAAGCAGGGAGACAAGGCAGCAGCGGTAAAGCCAACGCCGATGAAGCAGGGAGACAAGTAGGGAGACAAGGCAGCAGCGGTAAAGCCAATGCCGATCAAGCAGGGAGACAAGATGGGACACAAGGCAGCTGCGGCAAAGCCAATGCCAATCAAGCAGGGAAACAAAGAGGGAGACAAGGTAGCAGCAGCAACGGTCGACCAAAACGCCGATCAGCCACCCACTCATTGAGAAGTAAGAAGCCGTGTAGCTGTCGCGATCGTGGGAAAAACTGACATATCTGCGCATGAAAGCATAGCGCCTCATTGCTCAGCCACGAAGGGATACCTACCAATGGTCCCAACTGCTGTGGTCGTCGCATATTTTCCGCCTTTTCCTCCAGTCGAGTCGGAGCTTCGCTGTCCGAGGTTTACGGAGCGAGGAAGGATGCCTCAACCCGCATGAGACTTACAAGTGCACCTTGTGCCCCTGGAGGAAATTCAGCCGAAGATCTTATTTGTTGACGCACGTCCAGAAGTACCATAAACCTGAAAAGGATTTCGTGACGACCAAGTACCAGTTCCATGTTGCATGCGCCATTTTTGAGCAAAAGCAGGCCTGGAAGCTTAAAACGCGACACTCACTTCCGGATAGCTTTCATTTTTTAGCCCTTGACAGGCGCTCAGCGCTTTGGCCGTCCCATGCGTTGCAGACGAGCAATTGATATGCCAGGCTGCGCAATGCATTCGCACCTGGTCCGACCTCGACCCTGAGTCTTTGGCCTACGTTGCAACTCAAAATTCCATCGACCTGGTTTTGTTGTTGACGCAGGATGGCCCAAAGTATGTCCTCAAGCAGCAAACTGCACCTGCGTTGCGTGTCAACAAGATGCTATACATCACCAATGACTTTGCTGATTTGCTCCTGGCCAAAGCAATCAAGCATAAGGGCAAGATCCACAGCATGTTCAACGACATCACCATGGAATGGGTGTCAAGGGGTAGCCCTTGTGCGTGGCTCGGGTGCCGTCGAGCAGACACGCGCCAGGCTGTTTTTGCTCAGGTCATGGCTTCAACCTCCGTCAAAAACTTGCGGGATGCTTTAGTCAATACGGCCACTGACCACAAGGAATGGCTGGTTTGTAGCCACGATGCCACTTTTCAAGTCCTGTTCAGTGCCATCGGACAGCTACCGATGCAACAGAAGAAAGGTGAATACCACGCACTCCATACCTTTCTGGGGCGTTCCGGGGCCGTGCCGGGCTTCAGCCTCCAGAGCACAGAAGGGCCTGCCAACTTTTGTTCAGCTGTTGCCGAAGTCCTCCCACTCAGCGCCCGGCTCACTGTGCAGTACCTCTTTTCAGACAATCCTGCCTTTGTGGAAGGTGCCAATGCAGTATTGCCAAACCTCGTGGCTGTGGCTGAAGATGCCTTGCATTTAGTGCTGCGCGTCGAAGCCTGCACAGGAGAGAAACGTACTTCCTTGTCATCGTGCCTCCTCCGGGTCATGAAACGCTTCCGCTTACCTTGCCCAGGACCTTTCTACCACGGTCGCACCAATGACGATGACTGTGATCAAGGGCATTGGTCCGAGGACTTTGCCGAAGAGGATGTACCTGGCGATTGGAATTGGGATGACAGGGTGGTGAAGCCATACTCAAGCCACCAGGAATACATTGATGACATCCAAGTGCTCTGCGCTCAACACTTCGACCAGATGCACAAGAAAGACAAGAAGGGCCGTACAATCGAGCAGATCTTGCGAGCCGGTGTGTCCTACAAGCATTTCCGTTACCTATGGAACGGCTCCCACATCATAGAAGCCCTCCACCATGCCATGGACCCGAAGGAAGTGGAACTCCTCAGCTTTGGCACCTGCAGCAACGAGGCTTTACATTTCCAGCTCAAAGCCTGTCAAGAGCAAATCATCCAACAGCACATCCAAACCTTTCCTCCGCAGCTGGAAGCATTCAGCTTGGCAAAGCTGTTGGCGCATCATTCGGCCGCGTACCACCCAACTTTGGCGCAGAGAAAGGAATCAGAAATCTTAAGTTTGATGCAAGGTCGTTTGATCAAAGGGTTTCTGCCACCCTTGGAGGAGAGGCAGATTGGACCAACCCTTTGCAGAGAAGCCTTGCGCAAGCCTGTGCATAGCTTGGATCCCAGGAAGGTTGCAGCCAGGAAAGCCTTGAAGGCAAAGAAAGCCGAGCAGTGGCAGAAGGAAGTGAAGAACAGGAAGCTGAAGCATCCACATCGTGCAGCGCAACCAAGTTCACCGAAAAGAACCGTTTTTACGCAAAAGAAGTGCCTTGGCAGAAGACTGAGCCAAAAGTATTGCCATACTACGAAGAACAACCACCGCTAAGCCAAGCCACAGCATAACCATGGCACTAAAAAACAACGCCTATGCCATGCACTTTATGCAAAGAGCACCTGATGTGAACCTAGGCGGCCAGGTCGTCGTGCGCAAGGAAGCGCCGCTTCTTCCACGGCTGAAGCAGGGTGAGGTGAGCTTTCCATTGTTCGGCCAGGGGCAAGCGTCTATCGCACCAACACTATAATTACATGCGCATATAGCTAGAAGGTGGCCTCATGCGTCTGTTTTTGTTTGATTTCTCAGTCGTTTGCGTTTTGGCTTCTTGGATGTGTGGTATATCTGTAGTATTACCCTCTCGTGTGCGTCTCTGTCAAACATGTCTATAAGACTCACATGTTTGGAGCTGCCTTGTACCCACTTAACCATTACAGGCCGCGATGACGTTTCAATCCTACGGATGTTTGCATTTCACACGTGTCGACGCTGAACGGTGTGTTCGGTAAGTATATGAATACAGACTAAATTTATATAAGTTTATGCTTGCTCACTGTTTCCACCCAGTGCGCTGTGGAATATGATTGCGCATGCGTGTGCGTTGCAAGTGCATCCCATATTTCTACGCGACTTTGTCAATGCCTGTGCGCAGTTTACGCTGTGCTAAACCTGGGTCAAATATTGCAGAACAAGTTGTTTAAACACAATAGTTGGAAAGCTGCAAAAATTGTGCCTTTTTATTTTCCAGTGGCATTAAGTCCTCTCCTTTGGGCCGCCAACTAGTTACTAGTTTCTACACACAAATCGAGATCGACGACCGGACGATCAGAAGCACACGCAACTTTTTCCGCTCAACGGACACGGGGTATGTAAGTGCACACGGGGTATGTAAGTGCACGTGTTTCACACGTCCTGAAAAGACTTTCACAAAGTTGCATGACGTTTCCGACTTCGGGGTCGCATTTTTCAGCATTACCTGTGTAAGCTTGCACTTAGAAAACCAGATATATCTGATATATATATATATATATTTGTGTGTTTCAAGGCCCGTGGTGCTAATAATGCGTTCCTCTTGCGCTGTATCATTTGCATTTTCTTGGTGTCGTTTTCCTGCCTACTGTGTCGCGTTTATTAACCGTACCTGTGAGTCCTAATCGAGCGACTAGGCAAATCTGACAAGTTTCATGCATTCAGTCTCTAGGACTTAAGGCGCTATCACGGGTGACCGCTTGCACGCGAATCATGAAATCGAAGATGCAGAGAGCAGCTGGCTGCGCCGCGCCCTGCATATCAGTCGGTAAACTAAAATCAATATGCAATGTTAGATACGATAGTAACATTCACCTGCATATCAGTATGTCATGACTGGCACAAACTTCAGGTCAGACTGCAATAGTAGGTACTATAATTTCAAATCCACCATGCAGAGAGCAGCTGGCCGCGCCGCTGCAGATCAGTATGTCACTATGGGCAAACCTATAAGGTCTGGTTGGGGCGTTCCGTGTACCCAAACACTGGACCAAACATCTGCCCAATCAAACCGATGCAGCCGATCTGTCCGATCAAACCGATCCAGCCGATCAAGGAATCGATGCAGAGTGCGCAGCAGGATGATTTGTGCTGCTTTCTTGGGCAGTTCAGTGGCAGACAAAGCTAAGGGTATCAATAGGATCCAGTTTCAAGATGTTTTGGTTTTTTTCAGCCTTGAGGTTGGATTCATGAGCACGGAACAATGCCAGGCACCTACAAAAATGGACATGCCGGAGGAGGCGTCCTACTCTGACCACTACCGAATTTTGAATGCTGCGGGCGATGAGCACGGAAACCAGACGTCGGATTCCCAATGTAAATTTCTCCTCTCAGACCACTCCTATTCGAGAACCATAGTAAGTGCGCTAAACTCTGCAAGACAAGCTGTTGTACTCTATCCAGTGCTCAACCATTCGTTAGTTGCTGTTTCACAGCGACACATAGACAACTGACTATGCAAAAATGCGAAATAAAGGACATTGCTGTGTGGCCCACTATAGGGGGGTCGACTCAGAAGACCGCAGGTGTGAGTACAAACCTAATCTAAAAATGAAGCCGCTAAATGGTCGCGAACCGTCGAAGGCACGGGGGCCCCCCCCCCCCTGGATCAAATCCCCCCTGCGCCGGTTCACGCCGTCGTGGACTTCTACCAGGGTTACTTGTGATTGCCTGCTACCTTTCGTTCACCCCCTCCTCTCTCAAGTCAGGGTGTGGGAGTAAGTTCGTGTTTCTTTTCCTTATTCACTCCCATTACACGACACATCACAACACGAGATCTTGGTGTCTGCCCTGATCCGATCCCAAACGCAGCCTCCGTTCCTCGGTCCCGGTCGCTCGGTCCGAGTCTCTCAATGGAACTGCAGAAAGGCTCCCCTTTTGAGGTCGCCAGAAGTGGCATGGCGCATGGCCAGTCCTTACCCTACACCTCCAGTACCTCCTGAACGCTTTCGCTTATGACTGGACCCGACTGGCACCCGGGCCCCCAGTCCCACCGAACCTCAGGTTCGGTACGACTGGAGGCCTAGGGCCTAGGGGAGCTTCTTCTTAGATCCACCTCAAACGACTGCATCGCATGCCCGTGGTCTCAGGTGGAGCGCCAGCATCGCATGGGCCAAGGAGAAGTTCCCGGAGAAGCCATTCTTCATCAGCGAAACGGGTGCTGGTGGACTCTTTGAGTGGAAGAATCAGACTGATGCATACTGGACACTGAAGTATCAGCAGGAGGTGGGTTTTGCTCGGTCTTGCCGATTTCTTTTTTTCCGCACAACAAAACGAGAATGTTTGTGTGTGGTGTGTGTGTGTATGTTTTTTGCGTTGGCTCGACGGTCTCCCGTCACAGCGCCTCGACGGTCTCCCGTTCGGATCCCATGGAGTGTTTGGGATAGACTTTTCACCACCTAGCCACCGGACCGCCGAGCGAGCGCTGGAACTCCTGGCTGCTGGAACTCGAAGACAAATAGTTGAGCTACAGTTGATGTGAAGTGACCCTATAGATCGCCAACCAACCATGTTCGCAACGCAGCCTTGCAATGTTCGTAACATGGGTAGGAGGGAGGTAGCGAGCATCGCGCGGTAGGAGGGAGGTTCTTTAGGACCTGCCTGTATCCGACACCGCCCTCCGAAGAAGCCTCACTCTTCCAGACGAATTGAGACCGGACCGAAGACATCATAGACTCCCACGGCTTCGTGTTGCGGAGCACAAGACGAAGACCAAAACCGAGATGCGTCTCTTTAACAAGACCGTCCAAGGTTCGGGGAGGTGTTTGGGATGCCCCCCAATCACCTCACAGACGCCAGGGCGGCCTCAATTTTTGAGGCCCTTCCCCATGGTGAAGACGTGTGAAGACTCGAAGATGGCAGGTGATTGATCGGGATGTGGACGTCGCTTTGGAGAATGCCAATGTCTCCGGCCTGACCTTGTGGCACTTCTTCGACTTCAAGGGCAACGCCGCTAGGACGACGAACACGACGCACGCCGTCGCCGAGCCTGACGGGCGGGGTCTGGGGAGCCATGGACACCGGATCTCCCCAGATCTGCTTGCAACACTTCCCAAGTTGTTACCGATCGATCTTCCAACTGTGCTGGATGTTCATGCCGAACTTCGCAGATATAGAACCCAAGTTCAGATTTTTTTTTGCGTTGGAAGATCCAAGGAATTTTTAGAATCCTTTAAAAGTGAACGAAGCTCCAACACAATAGCTTACAACATCTTACTTGAATCATCTTACCTTCCACGAGGAGCTGGGCCCCACGGGCGGGGGGTCGCTTGTGTAGCGCGTTTTGGGTCGCTTGTGCGTCGCGTTTTGGGTCGCTTGTGCGTCGCGTCTACTACTACTACTACTACTACTACTACTACTACTACTACTACTACT